TATATAGTAATACCTTGGGATACGAGCGTAATCCGTTCCATGACCAAGCTCGTAACTCAAGGTGCTCATATCTCATTCTTTTCCAGACAGGACTAACAAAATTAATCTGTTCCGGCCCTTTAAAAAACTCCCTTATTATTAGTGCTAATAACAATGTAAAAAAACCATGTTTTTAATTGCTATAGAGACATACACACACAAAGAATATATAGTATATAAGGATTCCTGTGATATAAAATCAAATGTGGTTTTTACTTTTCTATTTTTTTCTATTTTTTTTTTTTGTTTTGCTTTTTTGTATTTCTGTATTCTTTCTTTAGCGGGCACCACGCTCATATTTACAGTCATCTTAGGACTCGTCGCTATTATGAAGAATAAAGCACAAAACGGAGAGCAAATCACGTAGATAACGCAAAAACACAATACGGAAGTGGACGGACACGCGAAGTGAACAAGGCGAGGCAGCGAAAGGTTGCTCCAAGCGCTCGGCCCACCTGGCTTCGGCGTCTGTAAGCGTGCTCGTATCTCGAAGTACTCGTACGTGTAGATGCTCGTCTCTCAAGGTATTTATATATATATATGATACGATTCAGTAATGCATTGCAATTCTTTATTTTTCCCCCAATTCAATGTCGATTCGCACAGTTCAAACGGACGGACAGACGCCGATACTTTCTCCGACACGTCGGCACAACTGCAGTGCATGATGGGAGTGTGCATATATCAGACATACACTGGATTTCCCAGTGCATTGTGTTTGCATACATTGAGTGCCTTTTATATTAGACAACTTCTACTCACGACTCATGCACTCATGTCAGTAGTTGGGTTTGTACCTTTTTTTTTTTTTTTTTTTTTCTTTTACTTATTATTACTATTAGAGCGTGAATTCATAAACTATTAAATGAGGAATGAGTATTATTGCGCTGCTGCTTTATTTTCAGACGTTTTATCGCTAAAACTGTTTCGAGTTATACCACGGCTGTTCGTATAAACATGAAACTAAAAAAAAAAAATTTATTATTGTTGAAAATAATTATCTGGTACTCCAATTATTAATTATTTGTGTATATCTATTTGATAGTGATCTATTTTAGAGCATGCATTTGGCTGTTTTAAATTTAAACTCCATTGTGACCTTGCTGATGTTTACTGAATTGGTTTAATAGTATTGGTCAAATTCTGTAAGTGTGTAATATATGCGCGATCATTTAAAAAATGGGGTTTTTTATTAAAGTAAGAATCGTTGCTGCAGTCCATTAGAAAAAAAAAATTATTAGTGAGAACATTTTCAGCACCGGCCCTGAACAACTGTTAATCCCGGTTGGCCCCAAGCAGGGACTGCGTTTAAATTTCCGGCCGGTTGAGTGATTGAGTTTGACACCCCTGGATTAGCGCCCGGATATATCAGCAATAATCTATCAAATCCCCCTATTTTGCCTGTTATTATTGTCTCTTTTGGGGGATCATCAGCTTATGGATCAGACAAGACAATCCTGAAAATTTTCCTTTCAGTCTGAGACCGATCGCGACCCAGAGATTGGACCATTCCTGATTCCAATGCTAATGGGGTTTTTTTTTTTTTTTTTTTTTTAAAGAAATCTGTCAAATACAGTGACATCTTCTCCTTCTTCTTCTATGTGTTTTTTTTTTTCTCCCTGACTTCTAATTTTTCCATCTCCCTTTCCTCTGCCAGGCTCAAGACAAAAAGAAAGCCCTGGAGGAGACCAAGGCCTACACCACCCAGTCCCTGGCCAGCGTGGCCTACCAAATCAACGCCTTAGCCAACAACGTGCTACAGCTGCTGGACATTCAGGCCTCACAACTGCGACGTATGGAGTCGTCCATCAATCACATCTCCCAGGTACTAAGACACTCACATTCCATTCCTAAGCGTCTAAAAAAAAAAAAAAAAAAAAAGGGGGGTTCAAAACTGAACTTTGATCACTGTCGGCTCATTTTGTTATTATTTTACTCACACCCTTGAAGAAGCCGTTTATTGATTTTCTGTTCAACACTATTGCATGGCCTTGATTTCGTTGAGGTTTAGTACACAGTCCTAGCCATAAATGCACTGGTACTAATAATTGGCATCAACATTTCTCTTTCGGAGTTTTGGTTGTCGGCATTGGTTTCCTCAATTTTCAGTTTTTGGTTTGGGCCAAGAATTTTAAATCCGGTGCATCCCGACAGTATTTAATTTTTTTAAATTTTTCTTTTTGTATTATTTTATATGGGACCTTCCCAAAGTATAACTTTGCAGCAAAACAAAAATACTCCCTTTCAGAGACAGGCCAACAGGGGTGTGGGTGATAATGAAGCTTTATCAGCATAGTCTTCTCTTTCTACTGTCCCTCTCCCTCTCTCTCTCTCTCTCTCTCTCTCTCGACCTGTGAGCCAGTAAACGTCCCAGTCCTCACCCTTCACGCTGCGTTAGGCCTTTCGCGGATGAAGCGAGTGAAGTCCTGACATAGGCAACGCATTTCAGTATTTAACGGGGGTTGCTACGGGAAGCAGAGTCACACGAGGGGACAGAGAATCTTGCATTGATCCCCCTTAGTTAATTAGTCATTTATTCTATCAGATTTAAAAAAACCACAGCACAAAGATTCGCTTTTGCATTTCTATTTGTGTTTCTAACGGTTCCTGCCTTCCGCGTAATCGTCACCGAAACCGACGCTCTGAACAGCGATCGTGACGAAAACCCATTAAGACACGTTGGATAACCGGATTGGAAGAGTTTTCCGGGGACTAAAAACAAGCTTTAGATTCTATCAGGGCCCCCCCCATTTCGATTAGCAGCATTGGTAATGAATGCATCCATAGGACTGCCTTCGCTTGCCAGACAGAAACAGGAAGTAGGCAGGTCTATATATTTTTTTTTTTTTTTTTTTTTTTTTTTTGGTTTAACTGTCCAGCTGAAACTGGGTGTGTCACTTCGGTTTCCTCCGTCCTCTAAAAAGTAGTACGTTCCCTAACTTGAAACAGACACACAGGCCGTTGCCGTTTTTCGGAGCGATAGAAAAGGGGCGTGATTTACAGAGGAGATGAAAGTCACTGGTAGAGCTTTGTCTAAAGCGCCTCGGGGCGTAGAACGCAGTTGTAGGTCAGCAGGCGTTCAAAAGGGGCGTACCAAAACGACAGTTCATTTGCTGAAATAAATTATAAAAAATATAAATAGCGTCGCCATCAAAAATATAGTTTCCCGTAACTGGTGGTGGTTAATTCGAAATAATTCTAATATCTTTTTTTTTTTTTTTCCCCCTGCAGACAGTGGTGCAGACAGTGGACATCCACAAAGAAAAGGTAGCTCGTCGCGAGATCGGCATCCTGACCACGAATAAAAATACCTCTCGCACTCACAAGATTATAGCTCCGGGGAACATGGAGCGACCTGTGCGCTATATAAGGAAGCCGATCGACTATACGCTCCTGGATGATGTGGGACATGGTGTCAAAGTAAGTTTCCTTTAACCAGAGCCTTCTTTTTTTTGTTGCTTACCAAAAATCTATGGTTAAAACTTAAAACTCAAAAAATGTATGACTTTTGCAACAGTTGAATGGAAAAATGGTTTCCGGGACTAAAAGGAGCACCAGAAATATTACAAAATGATGTGATGTTCGGAGACATTCGTTACAAGCTATAAACGACATGGTACTACATAGTAGTAGTTGTTCGACAAAACGATCATATAGTTTCCAAAAGTTACCAGTAAATAAAAATTGTATTACAAATATTATATAACAGACTGATTTAATGTTACAAAACATTGAGCGAAATTGGCAGGAAAGTGTGTAAATTCTACAATCACTTGAGTATCTACATATTCATTGATCTGTAATATGTACATATATATGTTATATATCCCAAAAAAAAAAAAAAACCCGGTAAAAAAAAAAAAAACTCCAATCCATTCTGACATTATCAACGTGGCAAAACTCAAATCTATGATAACACTTTGATCCAAATTACCTGCATGACATTATCAATGTGGCAAAACGCACACCTAAGATAACACTTTGATCCAAATTACCTGCATGACTGCTACTGTGATTATCTCCAAAAACTTCAAGGCTACTGATATCGCGATATCTTAGCGAATCGAGTTAATTAGCGAGTTAGTTTAGCTGTGAAGAAATTTGAAAATGCTATAAACACTACAGTAACATTCCATGAGCGAAACCGTGATCTGGTAGCTAAGATTTCAGGTTAGTTATTGGCAAGTAAAAAAAAAAAAAAAAAGAGTGTGCCAGATTAGAATTTGAAAGTGTTACTGATCCCTTCATGAACTCTGTTCGAACAAAGGGGGGAAAATACGGTTCAACTCCTTCTCCTTCTCGCCGTATTTAGCTTTGCTAACTTCCTCAACGGTTAGTCATCTCTTCCTTAATCCCTTTTCTTTTACTCATTGATATTCTGTGTGTGATTATGTCCCAATAGTGCGTGTGTTGGGACAAAGATATATTGATTCATCTTCGTCTTTTTGCCTTTTCTTTCGTTTTCTTTGTCGTTGCAATCGTCAATATCCGATCAACTTTTGCTGCTTCATTTTTTTTACATATTTACCATTGCTTGGTAAGCATACAAAAAAAAAAAAAAAAAAAAAATTTCACAACTGACTATGAATGCTAATGACCATTTATGAAGGCGCCAGTTTCTGCTGAGACGGTACGATTACTCCGACGTACCTACGGGATGTGCGTTTGGGCTGCGACCGCGATGTCGGTACAGTTGTTGTTGTTATTGATAATTATTCGCAGAGAATTCAGAAATATTGATAAATTGACAACAACAAAAAAAATATTGTAAAAATGTTATTTTCTTAATAATGTCGTTTTGCATAAATACCCTTTACATAAAAAAAATTAAAATTTTTCAAAATTTTTTTTTTTTATATATCCAGAAGTCAGACCTGACAATGCACAGTACAAACCCTTTCTCACAGTTACCCTCCACCGTAGCGGCGTTTATTGGCATTGCTGTTAGTTACCACGGTAACGTAGTTTGAGTCTGAATACCTCACAGTTGGTTCTTATGACCTCACTGTCTTCCCAGCTTTTTTGCTACGAGAGATATAGCAAAAAAAAAACAAAAAAAAAAACAAAAAAAAAACAAAACTCAACAGCAACCCAGCAAAGTACAAAAACTAAAACGCACCATTTTACATGGTTTGCATGTATGTTGTTTTTTCTATATGTACAACGACAATAAAGGCAATTCTTTCCTCATCATTTAGAAATAAAGGAACCATGATAACGAATTAACAAATTTCATACATAATACTTTGCGATTTCCTGGTTTTTAACCCCTTAAATGATTGCTTTTTGCTGTTGTAATAATGTAGCCTCACTTTTTAAAAAACATTAACCAATGAGCATTTCTTATTCTTTCTCTTTCCTATTTTTCTGCTTGCACTCAGTGGCTTAAAGCCAAGGTAAGATATTATTGTTGTTGTTGTTTTTTCCTCCCCCCCTAATATTAATGTCCCGTATTTTCCTCTATTTCCATATCGCTTTATAACATCTCTGTTTCCAATTGCCAAGGAAATTCACCATACGATTCCAATTCGCCCTTCACTTTCCTGTTACGTTGAACAGAACATTCAGCATGAATTGTCGTCACCTGTGCTTTCAGCAACACGGGAACAATGCTGCAGGGCGAGGCGGAACTCTCGCCAGGACCAACCCGCCGACACAGAAACCCCCGAGCCCTCCCATGGCTGGACGCGGAACTCTAGGGTGAGAAGAAGAAGCTTGGTGGTGTTTTGTTTGTTTTTTTTTACCTTCTACAATTCGTAAAATATTTTCTGGGTATCTTCTTATTCGCTGTAGGCGTAACACGCCGTACAAGACACTGGAACCGGTGAAGCCTCCCGTGGTGCCGAACGACTACATGACGAGCCCGGCTCGACTTGGCAACCAGCACAGCCCTGCGCGCACCGCCTCACTCAACCAGAGGCCCAGAACGCACAGGTGGGACGAACGTTTGAGAGGTTTTTTTTCCCCCCCATAGGGCTGCTGGAGCCTCACATGCCTCTCCTTACCTACCCGATGGTGGTTGCCTGGAGGACGCACTGGTCGGTGAACGCTAGGGAAGAATATTTTTTTCCCCTCGCGTCGCACCGCGCTCAGGTGACGTTTTTTTAGAATTGGCGCAACTTCCCAGCTGACTTTTGTCCTTTTTTTGTGCATTTTTTAGACATTTTTACCATTTTTTGAAGAGGGTGAAAAAAAAAAAAAAATGTCAGAAATCCGAAGGTCTGACGCCAGATTCGGACTCAGCGCCGGACCGGCAACGCGGAAATGTGCTTATCTTTGCTCTCCGAAACCCCCTTTTTGAACATTTTAAGCGTTTTATTGAAATGACAGTGCATGCATTTTACTATGTCGCCCTCTGGCGGCCGCTTTCGGGAATACGCAGGTGGCTTCTGGAGTTATTTTCAGCACATTGAGCGTATATTACCTTTTTTTAAAATAAACATTTATTGATAATGCTGCGCACATCATCACGACTCGTACCTCGGCAGACTAGCATATTAAAGACGAACGTCAATTTTGGATTGACTGACAGAATCTGTAGGAACAACAACGACGTATCCCCTCTCACTGAGTTCTGTCTATTTTATTACAGCGGCAGCAGCGGAGGTAGCGGGGGCAGAGAGAACAGCGGAAGCAGCGGCATTTCTCTCCCTCTGGCTGTTCCGACCCCGTCCCCTCCCAGTTTAGGGCAAGGTAAGTTTAGGCAACCTCGGTTTTGTCAACTGTTTAGTTTAAGAAAAAAAATCCGGAGGTGAACCGGGATTTTTATTTTCAGTCAAGCGAGTCGATAAGGGAAGGGGACGAGAGGTCGGGGTTGGGATCGCCGGCCGGGCGTCGTCCGCGTAGCAGTGGAAGTTTATGGAATGTTTGCAGAAGGTACAGTGTTACCAAGATAGGTGATGAAAAGAAGGAGACCCAGGACGGAACCCTGGGGCACACCTGAAGTGACAGAAGGAGTTGAGCAATTGAGTCGAGTTGCAACTGGATTTTTAGAGATTAGAAATTGGACGTAAAGGTTTTTTTTTTTCCAGAGTTTCGGGGTATTATTGCAGCAATTTTGAAAGACAGACAATTACCACCGATGGGTGTTTTTTATGTCAAATTAAATCTCTCACATCTTTCCTTCTCCTGCAGTGGCGACATCCTCGGCCTTAGTGCCCCAGGGGCCTGGCTTGGGTCCGATTCCCATGTCCCAATTTGGCACAATCTCTCGCCAAATTTCCCGGCACAATTCCTCCTCCTCCTCCTCGGCCTCCATGGTTTCGGCCACCGGCACATACCGCCGCGCTCCGTCCGTTTCCTCCCAGCAGCCTCATGTCAACGGGGGCCCCGCTTACACACAGAGCTTGAGTAAGTCGGACTCTCTCTCTCTCTGTTTCTCTCTCTCTCTCTTTTAACAATCGGAAGTTTGTAAAATAGGGAGATAACCTTTTGGCCGTTAATGTGTTACTTTTCATTGTCCCAATAATGCAACAGCTAAGAAATATCCCCAGATAAATGCATCATGGTTCCTGAAGTTCTTTAGCAAAGCACGGGCCGTTAGCATATGAGCTAAAAACACTTTTTTTTAAATTTTTTTTATCAGATTTAGCCCAACGTGCTCAGAGGACGACAACGTCGTTGTAATTTGCCGCGCGTACTTAATCAACAATATGAAGGCGAGGTGTCCACTTTCAACAGGACAAATGTATTTAATGAGGAATCAAAGGCAGTGCTGAGAATTAAACAGCAGGTGGCAGCAGATCAACACAGCTTTTTTTTGATGTCCTCTGTGTTGCAGTCGTTACTAAAAAGACGTAAAAATACTAGAGTACAACAGCAGTACTACCACTACTAGTTTACTGTCTATTTTAACAAATGTGTCACCGACCCGGAATGTGCTGATACGGCCGTCAAAATGTCCGCTTCATGGTGTAGTAGTAGATGGACGTCTCAGTGTGTCGCGACAGCGCATTAAAATGTCAGGCTGGAACAGAGCTAGCGCGTAGGTCATAGAATGTCTCTGCAGGTCGTCCTAGGAAAATGCGACACGAAACGGCACTGAAAAAAATCAAAATGTCTCTTTGTTTCTCAGCAACTCTCCCTGCAGTGTTTTTGCTTTCACTCTCCCGTGATCTACTCTGTTCTTTTCTTGCTCTGTCACGTCCCTGTTGCCACATCTGTCTGTCTGCTCCTCTGGTCCTTCTGGTGGGGTGTTGCCGCTTCAGTGTCCGTGGCTCCTCCGCCTCCACCTCCCCTGGTGCAGGGTGTTGCCGCTTCAGTGTCCGTGGCTCCTCCGCCTCCACCTCCCATGGTGCAGCTGACCCCACAGATCCCTTTGACCGGCTTTGTAGCCAGAATGCAGGAAAGTAGTAAGTATTCCATGTGCGTACTCCGTGCCTGTACTTGTTACATTGAACAAGTACAGATCCCCCGGGGGGGGTCCGCCAAAATTTTTACCAAAAATATATCATTTATATACATAAATATATCGTTATACTTCGGCCTTTTCCCTGCAATACCCACGTTTCCCCAATAGATGGCAGTAGTTGTGAAAATTATTTTAGCATTTTTCGTCTTTACGCATAGCCTTTTTTCATGTCATTTATCTTAGCTCACGCCAACGCTCCATCTATCTGCTCCAGACCTGGCCCGTCCTGACCAGTTGTGGCCCGCGGGTCAGAAAATTTGCCCCACGCCTGGTCTAGCGTGACAACAGGTTCAATTGATATAACTTTCTTTTACAGATGACCAACGGTATCGGCCCCGATTTTTAGCATAATTATGTAACATCTGTACGAATCGGTATCCATTTTTTGGCGCCGATAATGAAAACCCCCGATAATGCAATTCCTGGGATTCGTCAAATGATGTTGATTTTTGGAGAGAAAAAAAAAAAAAAAGTTGCGTTCTAAGACCCACCACGAAATGTTTTTGCTATAGTTTTACTGTTAAATTTTTTTTTTTAGGTTAAATTGTATTTCCCGTTAAAAGATGCGATGTAGCGAAACTTCCGCGGAACGGATTAAAAAAAAAAATCTGCGATGTCCTGAGGGAGCGTCGTATCCCCGAACAGAATAGCTTTAACTGATTCAAGGCATATCAGGACCTAAAAAAAAAAAAAAAAAATCTGTAATAATGCTAGTACAGTAATATATGTTGATTACCGTATTTTTCGCACAAAAGTCGCACTTTTTTTTCCATCCTTTGGCTGGGTTTGTGACTCATATATGCGACTTATATATTAAAATGTATAATTTCACATGTGTTATTTTCACACTGGCAGCCACTAGAGGGCACTGGTGCGACTTATACTCCGGAGCAACTTTTATATGTTTTTTTTTTTTTTTTACTTCTTCATTATTAATTTTTGGGAAGTTGTGAGTTAAACTCCAGTGCGGAAAATACGGTAAATATTTCCACATAATAATGTACTGTTTCCTCATTAGTGGTAATTATTTCTACTTCCTTGTAAAAAAAAAATATATACTAACCTTCATGACCTTAAGGATCAACCACAATTACAGACTCAGAATCAAACAGGGCAGAAGATGCCCACTACTGGTCATTTTTCGACAGCACATCCTTTGAAATTAAACTTCCTGTAAAAAAAAAAAAAAAAAAAATTTGCTTTTCTATTCCTAATCAAACGACTCTTCTCCTCCAGTAACGGACAGCCCTGCTCCACCTCCTCCGCCCCCGCCGGAAGACATCGGTGTGTTTAAGGAACCGTCTCCTCCTCCTCCTCCTCCCCCGCCTGTGGATTACGAGGAAGAGGAGGCAGCGGTGGTCCACTACAGCGACCCCTACGCCGACGGCGACCCGCAGTGGGCCCCTAAGTCGTACTTAGAAAAAGGTTGGCGCGGTGAAAACCGTTTTTTGCGACTTTAATCGATGTCTAATACATCGTCGGTGACACCTTTCGATGCACTTTCTCCCCCAGTTGTGGCCATCTACGACTACAGCAAGGACAAGGAGGACGAGCTGTCTTTCATGGAGGGGGCCATCATCTACATAATCAAGAAAAACGACGACGGGTGGTTCGAAGGGGTCTGCAACGGCGTCACTGGACTCTTTCCAGGAAACTATGTGGAGTCCATCATGCACTACGCCGATTAAAAACAAAAAAACAAAAAAAACAAAACTCAACCAACCCAAAAGGTCGAGTTTTAAATGAAGTGCCATTGTGATGTTTTTGAAATAAGTGGGGTTTTTTTTTTTTTTTTTTTTTTTTTTTTTTTTTTTTAAAAAGGTTTATCATTTTTGCAGTTTTTAAATTTACTCCCCCCCGAGGGATAAAAGTCGCACGGCCGAAGAGGATCTTAACAGATTTAAACAGTCCCGACGTTACGTTACGATACGATACGGCCGGTCTACCTGTCAGTCACATTTACGGTCCAATCAGATGTCCCCAATTTTTTTACGCTCGGGTCTGTTTAGTTGAACACAACGCTGATGTACTCACAGGAATTGAAGAAATACAGAGCGATTTTTTTTTTTTTTTTTAACAGCACTAGGGAATTTCTTTAGATAGTATTTCATAGCGATATGATGCCCTCTAGTGGGTGGGGATATTTCATTGATTTTCCTGTTACTGTGGTAGACAAATTAAGACAAAATTATCTGCAATTTCCCCCCCCCCCGAGGGATAAAAGTCGCACGGCCGAAGAGGATCTTAACAGATTTAAACAGTCCCGACGTTACGTTACGATACGGCCGGTCACATTTACTGTCCAATCAGATGTCCCCATTTTTTTTACGCTCGGGTCTGTTTAGTTGAACACAACGCTGATGTACTCACAGGAATTGAAGAAATACAGAGCGATTTTTTTTTTTTTTTAACAGCACTAGGGAATTTCTTTAGATAGTATTTCATTGCGATATGATGCCCTCTAGTGGGTGGGGATATTTTTTCATTGATTTTCCTGTTACTGTGGTGGACAAATTAAGACAAAATTATCTGCAATTTACCCCCCCCCCGAGGGATAAAAGTCGCACGGCCGAAGAGGATCTTAACAGATTTAAACAGTCCCGACGTTACGTTACGATACGGTCAGTCACATTTACTGTCCAATCAGATGTTCCCATTTTTTTTACACTCGGGTCTGTTTAGTTGAACACAACGCTGATGTACTCACAGGAATTGAAGAAAAACAGAGCGATTTTTTTTTTTTTTTTAACAGCACTAGGGATTTTCTTTAGATAGTATTTCATTGCGATATGATGCCCTCTAGTGGGTGGGGGTATTTTTTTTTTTTTTTTTTTTTTAAATTTCTTTAGATAGTATTTCATTGCGATATGATGCCCTCTAGTGGGTGGGGGTATTTTTTTTTTTTTTTTTTTTTTTTTAATTTCTTTAGATAGTATTTCATAGCGATATGATGCCCTCTAGTGGGTGGGAATATTTTTTATTTATTTTCCTGTTAATGTGGTGGACAAATTAAGACAAAATTAGCTGCAGTAAAATACCGGTTTGAAGACACTTATCTTCACAACGTCGACCCGAAGCGTTCATTTATCGCTACTTAAGGCTCACGTCTCCGAGACGGGAAATTGACGACCACGACGGGAGTCTTAATTTACAGGACATTTAAATGACCACAAAGGTAAATCGGGACACAATCGAACAAACCCGCGCTTTTGGTTTTTTCGACATGACGTGATAAGATTAGACGTGAACTAATGAGGAAAAAATAAATCTTTATTCGAAATGCGTGTACATAGAGACTTACAGGGAAGAAAAAAAAACGAAGAAGTTTTTGGGTTTTTTTTTTCTTTAACAGTAACATGTATATAAAGTGTCATGTAAGAAGTACATGTGTCAGTGTGTTCCATCTGTGAGCTAATAATGTGCATTGGTGGAGGTGGTGCAAAGGTGTATACAGTTATATAGGTATTCTTATTTGAACTTAAATGCTAGTCCTTATTTTTCGGGATTTTTTTTTAGTGCCATTTTTACCGCGCATCGTTCGTTATCATGGTCACTTTATGTTTACTGTTGTTTACTGTTGTTGCCAACGAAGGACTTAACTGCTTACGTCAACTGCTGCGTTCTACATTTTCGTTTTGTTTTGCAACAAAACCGACGTTTACTCGGACAAATTTAACGATTGTCTTTTGGTGGCTTGAAAAAAAACAAACAAACAAATTAACCTTCATTGTTGTTTATGACAGTGGTTGATGATGTGGTTAGTCACACTGGTGCTCAAAATCCTCCATCACGAACCCAGAGCAACTCAATACACGTTTACATAGTTTACATTAACCCTTTGATGCATGACCCATGATATACTGAGGTTAAAAAAAATGTTACTAAGTGGTTTTTTTTTATGTGTTTTTTAGACATAAAAATAAGAACTGATTTGGTTCTGTTTTTATACACCAAATTTTCTTTTTGAACGTTGACGCAATTATTCTGCAGTTGCAAAGGCTGACCACTGTATGGCAGTGT